TCGTTCTTATAAACTTACTGCTTTTACTTTATCAGAAATTGGTTGCCTTCTGTACCATTTTTATTTACATTAGCATACTTCTAGAAGGCTCTATGGAAACTGGTGTGCACAAAAATATTTGGTGATATGTTAAGTGCACAGGCAGTTGTGTTCTGGAATGAAATTGTGTCATTTGTTGTAAAAAGGATAATGTAGAATGATATGCATGATACTCATACAATAAACTCATGCAAGATTGCTACTGTATAAGGAAGGCTACCTAGAAACAAAGGATATCTTTTCTGACTTGAGAAACCTTCTTCCTCCCCCCTCCCTTTTTTTCTTTATAACTTCCTAGCCTTCACAAACCAAAGCATGGGTGACAATGTGGTGTATTTTTTTCTTTTCTTCTTTGTGACCTTTTGTTCTTTGTTCCCTGTTATTTCTCTCTTCTTATTACATGCCCTCCCTCTCCTGGAGGGAATTGCTAGTTTCTACCAACCAAGCTCACAGGCATTTTATTAAGTGTTTAATGTATTGTGGACCATTGATTTATTCATTGGAAACTCAGTATTATGTTTACAATTCCAAAGGTCTCAATTCCTCTCAATCAACAAACATTTATTAAGTAAAGATAATTGTGAAATGATTCTCAAGATCCTTCCCCCAAAGAGCTTACATTTTACCCAAGGAGACAACAGGCATATATTAGTATTTACAAAACAGATACAAGATAACATTATAGGAGGGAGAAGGTTGAGGAGACCAGGAAAGGTTTCATACAGAAGATGACTGGTTCTCAAACTAAGTTCTGAAAGAAACCAAGGGATTCCCAGAAACAGGTTTGAGGAGTTAAGGATTCTCTCACTCTTCAACATGTTTAAAGACAAAACTGTTAAATCAGTTAAGTTGTATGTAGCATACTATGATCAATTTGAATTCAGGTTCAAAGGGATTTCAAGAAAGAAAAGGTTAAGCTACTTCCTGGAATATAACTTGAAGCCACAAACCTCCGATTGGGTGTTCTGCTATCTTTGGCTGCTGGGAGGGACCTTGGAAACAAAGCTCATCCTTGTCCAAGGTTACAAGTAACAACTTTAAGGGGTGAGCAGTAAAGAGAGAGCCAGACCAGAAGTCCAATCGAGTTTTAAAAGAACCATTAATGAAAACCACAATACTGCACACACCTCCCTTCCCCAGAAGATAATCGACAATTGTGTGGCTCCTGAAAGGTGTTGCAGTCAAGATTTTGTGTGTGTGTGTGTGTGTGTGTACATACTCCAAAAGAATAGAGTGAAAAATTGCCAAGTAATCCCATTCTTCTCTCCTTTCCTTTGGTTTGATGAATGAGAAGGTAATAGTTGGAAATAGTCAGAGGATCTCTAATTCTGGAAGAGGGTAGACGAGGGAAATGGAGTAGGGGCAGCTTGGGAGAAGTTAGAATTCTACTTTTCTTAATTACATGCAAAATTTGCCTTGCAATAAAGCAATCACAATTTTATCTGAACCTCCATGGAAGGCCAATTATGGAATCCAAATGTGTTTCATGAATACTAAAAGAACTTTGATATGTGGGTATCATGCATATTAATCCCTTCTCAAAGCAACACCTGCCGCCACCCCCCAACTCTCAAATGTCCATCACACAAACATGTGGCTTATCTAATCACAGACATCTGATACTTTTGAGAAATTCCCTTTGAGACGTGGTATTTTCTTCATTGTTCAGAATGATTGCATAAAGCACATATTTCCTAGCTAAGACACCCTACTTAAGTGCTGAATAGGTAAGGGAGAACAGATGGGTGTTAAGTCACTTTCACTGACTGCCAGAAAGGAGAATTCTTTGACTCTCCTCAGTAGGGAGAAGAAGACTGCTGAATGATCATAGGTAGTAGGAGAAATAGGAAAGGAGACCATCTAGAAATGTGAGGCAAGGGAATAAAGAAGAGAGCAGACACTGGATGGGTTCCAAGCAGGCCTTGGCTACTTGGCAGATCATTAAGTGGATTCCTTAATTTTCCTCCCTCCCTCTGCATACTATAATATAAATCAGACCTCAGGGATATATAGAAATAGTTTTCGTTGCTAGAAACAGAGGCTCTTTGGGTTAGAAGTTTGTGGTACGAGCTTAACATTCAAAGTAATCTTGTTCATATAGTATCACACCCAGTTCAGCCATGGGATCACAAAACTAGGACGGGGGGAGGGCCCTTGATGTCCTCTAGTACAGCTCCTATGGCAGACAGAGCCATTTTGTGGAAGTTGTCTGCAGCACAGTAGTGCCTTGTATTCTTACCTCCATGCATTTTCATAGGTAAGAACTCTCATCTCATTAAAGGTTCTGAAGATCTAGCAGTAGTGGTTCTTGGTATGCCAAGCTGATGTGACATTTAACTAGTTGTATGTCTAATTACTCCTGACCATGTTCCATGAGGTCTGTGATACTTATCAGTCTCAGACACTTGCAAGATGTGACTAGCTTAGATACTGTGGTAGGTAAAAGGCCAGAACTTGGAATAAGAGTGGCTGGCACCAATGAGTTCTGGTTTGGGTCCCCTAGCAGAATGTACTATTTGGGAACTAATGAGCTAATTAATGAGCTTATTAAGCATCTTAAGTTTTTGAAACATAATGTGGAACATCTCTAAAACTTTTCTAGGTAAGTAATTTTTGTTCTGTTTTTCTTTGTTTTCAAATGATTATGTGTGGAAAGTCACATTTGAGAGCCAAGTCATAGGATCTAGAGGGCATATGACTACTAATATGCCTCGAGAAGAGGTCGGGATCATGTGTGATTGGGACTCATGTACTTATTCCTTAATGCATTATCCTCCTTATCCTAGTTAGGAGAAGACTATTTTACCCTACCTTTTCTAGGTTACCTATTTTGTCTTTCTCTGTGATTTTGGAATTAGTATCCTTAAAAAAAATAATCAGAAGGTAGAAAGCCTGTTTCCCAACCAGACTTCATCATTAATGATTACTACAACTGTCCCTGAGGCTTTTTAACACTGGCTCCTCTTTATTTGATAGTGAGACTTTCTAGACTTACAAACTATCTTATTTATAAATTTTACTGTGTTTGGTGCTTGTCTATACTGCTAAAAAAGCTGTGGCAGAACACTACTATGAAGTGTCTCCTCACGTGATAATTTCATATGCACTGCGGCTCATTTGGACTATATTTCTCTAGTTTCATTGATATCTGCTCTACTAAATTAGATAGATTCTTTGCTACTTTCCACAGCTTCTTAAATCCCAGGCTAGGCCAGTCCCACCCCTCTGATATGGATCTGTTTGCATATAATACTTAACACACAATCTTGCTCCAGCCCTTCACCACCAAGTTTTATATCGAAACATACTTCTTAAAAAGATGCAAGCTTTCTGATGTGCCTATTTTGTTGCCTGCCTGTTCTTCACCTAGACCATTTTGGCTTCTGTTCCTTCTGAGGATTTATCGTTCCTTGGCTCACTGTGATGTGCTTAGATTCCCCATCCCAGGGGGATATTATCCAAAAGATCTTAAGTCAGTATCATCATCATCATCATCATCATCATCATCATCATCATCATCTATTCCTATGTCCACTTTTATATATCTTGTGCATGAAATATTCTAAGTTCATTGTCACTGGATTCCCTATGTCCAGCACAGTCCTCTGGCCTATCCCAACATTACTGATAATTGCTATCTTTGGCAACCTCACAAAATGCCCTAAAATATCTTACTTCCCTTGATTCATTTTACACCTCACCCATTCATTCTGTCCATCCCTTCTCTTCTCAAGCAGACTTTTTCATTATCTAACTCATCCCCCTTCTTCCAAGTGGAAATATGATGTACTCCTATTCCCTGTCCTCTAATTTATTCCTCCCTTTATCCTAATTGTTCTTAATATTTTAATTCCTTTTCAAAACCTTAACCTAGTCTCTATCCATAGCTGACATATAGCAAAATGGATTTATCCATTATCTATATTCAAAAGAAATAACCTTTTCAACTGCTTTCTTACCTTTATGGCTATAGCAGTATTTTTAGCCTCAGATTCTACATCTCTGGAGGGGTAAGAGCCTTAGTAAATATTTGGTGATGATGAACTTCATACAGGACAACACGTAACAAAATGGCGACAATATGAAAAGTACAATTAGAACTTAGTTGTTTCTGATTTCCAGAACTATTGACCCATGTATACTGTTACTTAGATAACATTCTTCCAAAAAACATGAAGTGTATTCTATTCTCTCTCCAAATGTCCAGTTCCGTAACATTTATGGATAACATAACACCATGGATACTTAATCTCTTATAACTATGCCATTACAAAGTTCTTGAGAAAATAAGCCTGGGGACTGAATTCTATGCTCAATGGAGCCTAATGAATTAAGAATAAATGTCATTTTTGTTCTCTGAGACACTGCTATACATATTTATCTCCTTGAATCTTTTTATCTTAGTTGGAGGGCATTAGTGTAAATATGTGATCAATACTCCTGCTTACAACCTAAAAGGAGATTGTTTTTGAACTTCATTAAGTATTGGTTCACAAACATCCATTGAACATCTACTGTGTTCTTGGGACTGTGGAGCATACGAAGGTATGACATGATTTCTGTCTTCAAGGGGCTTACAGTCATACTAGGGACTCCCTTTCTTTCTCCCTTCCCCACACTTCTCTCTCTCCCTCTCTCCCTCTCTCCCTCTCTCCCTCCCTCCCTCCTCACGCACACACCCACACACACAAACACACACACACATTGCTAATGATTCAAGGTCAGCTATGCTAAGCCCCAAGGACAAGGTCACATAGTAAGCATCATAGACATTCAGAGGCAGGAAGGAGCACATTTTTGGCTAGTTTGATCAGGTCTCATAGAAAAGGTGGGACTATAGGAATGATTTATACAAGGTAAAATGTTCTAGTACAGAGAGAATATTTTTAATTAAGTTAATAATTACTTCTATTCATTACTTTTGTTGTGTTTTTTTTTCTAACCTTCCTTCATCTGTCTAGGATTGACACAGATCCCTCAGATACAAAAGACTGAAATTTTCTTTCGTCCAAGTGATGCCCAGAGCTTTAGTGCATATGTGGTGAGCCTTAATCGATTCCTGGAGAAATATACAGAAGTAGCCCAGAAGGATGAACTAGAATTTGAGGACTGTGGTGGTAAGTAACTTACATTTTTAGGTTGGTTTATGATTCATTTTCTCCCTTCTGTTGGTTGACTTAATGATTGACATAGAGATCCTTATGACCACTGGGATAAACTATTTGAACTATTTGTGAAAAATATGGTGAACTATTTTGAGTATACATTTCCCAATCTGCTATTCCTCAGACCCATCCAAGAAACTCTCACTCTTAAAGATCGACCTGGTGTCAGCTCAAAAAATTGAACACTTATCACATATGCCTTGCACGGATATTTCTAGTCACATCAGTGAGGACTAATTTTGATTTATAGGATTTATTAGATGAGAAATATAGTATGATCACATAAAAGGAAAGAATTTTTTGAACTTCTGTAAATGGGCTGTCAATCAGATCTGTTAAACTGTAATAGTTGAAAGACTTTTTAAAGTCTAAAGTCATTTCTTAGTGGATAAAATGAAAGTGGTGTGGTATAGTAAAATGACCGATTGACTGGGAATTGTGGTTCTAGCTCATCCATTCAATAATGCTGTGACCTTGGACAAGTTATTTAACAACTGTTTATGTTTCCCTTCTTGCACATTGAAGGGTTTAGCTTAAATGGCCTTTAAGGTTCCTTATAGTTCCTAAATGTCTATGATAATACAGTTTGGCATTTAAGACAACAGTGAGAGCTCATGTTTGGCAAACATCTGCTTTATTTATGAATATTATTTGCCTTAACTTATAGAATCATTGTTCATTGAGCTTCAGATTCTATGTTCAGTTGTCTTTTCTGAAGCTTTGTGTCCCTTGCTGGGCTCTAACTATAGCCTAAAAATAGCAAATTGTCATTTCTCACATGAGGATTGATTGCAAAGTTGTAGTGGCTCCCCAAAAAAGTAGTGGCACAGAGAGCATTTGGTGAAAAGGCACAACCAAATGACTTTCTCTTTTACACTGTCTACAGTGTCAGTGAAGAGCACACGTGCAGGAGATTCTGTTCCTATTTACCAACATGTTCTTAGTCTGACATATTAGGTTCAGCCACCTGATTTTAATCCTAATTAGTTATAATGATCCCTGTTTTTAAGATAGACAATTATTGGCCTGGGCAAACCATGCATCTCATGTTCAGCTTTCTGTATAAATAGTTGGATAGTCCATTATTTAAAACAAGAGAAAAACCATTAATAGAAAAACAAGATAAATCATTCTGTCCTAGGCAGATAACATCAAGTTGATGGCTTGAAATGTATGCTCCACCATAGCTTGGCAAAATCTTTTGGTTACATATGAAGAGAAAGTTTTTGATGGGTTGATATAGACACAATTTAAGTGTGTGTTAAAGTGTGTCTTACTATAAGTAGTGTCTAAATGACAGGCCCACTATAGCCTGACCAAAGCAAACCATTTCTGGAATATTGTACCCAGTTCTGGGGTCCATGTTATAGAAGGCACATCAACAAGTTAGAGTGAGTCTAGAAAGAGGTTAGTGAGGTAACTCAAAACCAGAATGATCAGTTAAGGGAATTAGAGATATTTAATCTGGAGAAATGAAGATGTATTCAGGATGTGGTTCCTCTCTTCAAATCTTTGGTCATTATGTAGAAGAGGGATTGGGTTTGTTTTGATTGGCCCCAGAAGTCCGACATAGGAGCAATGGATGGAAGTTACAGTGAAAGAGGTTCTTGGCTCATTTTGAGGAAGCACTCCCAAATAATTAGAGTTATCCAAAAAATGGATTGTCTTGCTGGATAGTGAATTATCCAGCTGTATTTAAATTAATGCACATTAGAGAAGAGATTCATGATTCAGCTATGAATTGATGATATGCTAGGTTTGCTAGGTTTAAGATATGATATTCTGGTAGGATAAATCTAAAATATTCCAGTCATAGTAGAATTGACTGTAGGTAAAGGTCTTTTTCTTTCTCCTTTCTTCTGATGTTGCTGGGGGAGATTATTTGCTCTTTGTTTACATTTGTGTTTTAGACGTACCAAGTGATTACAAAGATCGAGGAGATTTTAACAATGAACAAGGGAAGAAGAGGGTCTGCAGGTTCAGGCGGGAATGGCTGGGGAACTGCTCTGGATTACTGGATGAAACCTTTGGCTATTCAAGTGGCAAACCTTGCATCATCATAAAACTCAACCGAGTTCTGGCCTTCAAACCTAAGGCAAGTGATCTTCTAAAGGCTGAAGCAAATGTAGACACCAAGGGGAGCCTATTTACGTAGATAACCTATCTAATAGGAAGGATGAACATCCGATGGGTATGAAGAACTGTCTGTGCTGCCAGAACAGTCACACTTGAAGCTTATATCTGGCCCTCTTGCTCTAGTATGACTAAGAGCATCCCTATTTTCCTGGTAATCCCTAAGGAAGAGCCATTACTGTTGCTTTCCAAAGTTAATTTTCCAATGGTGAAATGATTTTTAAATTAAGCCCTGTGCTCCTGTTTTTCCCCTAAATGTAATTTTGTTCAGTGTTCTGACTGGCAAATGTTGTGGTACGGTAGAATCAGCATTTGACTGACAATCGGGAAACCAGAGTTCTAGAACCATCTTTGACACCAACTAGCTATGGGACCTTGGGCAAATCACTACAGTTTCCTGGGCTTCAATTTACTTTTAAAAATGAGGAGGTTGAACTGGATTATCAGTAATATCCCTTTCAACACTAGTCTTATGAGACATTATACTCTTAAAAAATCATATGAAACATTAATGTTAAAACCTCAATGTTTAGGTAATAGTTGTTTCCCTGGGATAGCTTGAATGCTCTACTGGTATCATGAAATATGAAAAAAGACCTAGAGGAAAATTTCTAACACCTTGGCTGTGTCATCCAAGGGTGATCTTAGGGAGAATGTGGACAAGTCACAGAGAATGGGAAAAATAAGGATCTGCACTGATGGGGGAAACATATCAATAATGTTATTACAGATCCATGGCATTATTGTTTACCTTCATCAATCTCTAGGGTTGTCATCATTTTTTGGTCCCATCAAAGCCATTCATATTATATCACATTATTTTCCTCATGATTCTAAATCCAAGGACTATCTGGAGTGGAAATACCACTGCAAAATGCAGACTAAATACTAATATATGGTAAGCCCTTGATGCTCACACAAGGAAGGATATATATCTTTGCCTTGTGCCATTGGCATTAATTACAGCAATATATAATGGGTTAGCCTTCCTAGAAAGGGGGAAGAAGAGAGGGAAGGATGGAGCAAGCATTTATTAAGTGCTTACTGTGTGCCAGGCACTGCACTAAGTAAGCACTTAAAAAGTATTATCTCATTGGATAGCACAAGAAACAAGAAATGAACCCTAATACTTTGGACTCTTTGGTTGAACTACAGTAACTTTTCATTTCACAAGGCAGCATAAAAATGCTAAGAACTTTTCCATCCCCATGAGAATGCAACACTCCTGGAGCCTGAAAAAAAAGCATTCATTTTTCTCAAGCAGATCTTCTTCAAGAGGCTTTTTCCCCTTTCTGAATCTGTATCCATGAGCATGGTATTGGAGGATGTTTCTGATTCTGATAAGGGAAGACCATTAAAAGCCAGTTGTTGGCACAATAGAAGAGGAAGACAATAATTATCAGAATATGCTTAACAAATGTAAATCAGCTAAAGAATTGAATATTGAATAAAGACCCCAGATGGTAATGAAGGATAAATAGGAGAAGGGCTGAGAATGGGACAACCAACTCCATTTGCTCCTCAGAGTCTACTGTCCTATATCACTTCTTGAGCATTAAGTATTTTAATAAATTATGCTCATGTTGTTTAGTAATGGATGGATGATATACTAGAAATTTAAATATTCCAGTGAGAGTTATCACCTGATTCCATGATCTAGAATTCCCTATTGACCCATATATAGCTAGATCAATGTAGCATGCTTTGTTCAGATAATTATATATATATTTCCCTAGTAGGAGAATACAGTGGCTTTTACTTTTAGATCATTTCCAACCCACCCCCCCACTTCCATTTGATTCCTTGCTGCATTTTCTCATTCCTTCTGCCACTTAAATATAAATCTATTGATTTTTTTGTTATTACTTTTGGCCTTGCAATAGAAAGAGAAAACAATATTGTAATTTTCTCACCATCAACACAGCATGTCTACTGCTCCCTTTGAGAAAAGACTGGTAACTTCATAGTTCTTTACATTTTACCATTAAATACAGTGCTGGCAGAAGGTTCTGGAGACAACTGTACAAATGCTCAAGTTTTCTTTTATGACAGAAGGCATTAATAATGTAATCTTCTTGTATCGATGCCCTACTCATTAGGAAGAAGCTTTGCCTCATGGGTTTAGACTTTTGTTCAACTGGATTCTGGTACATCTTTTGGCAAGAATGGAATCTGAAGTGAGATAGTAAATTGCTGGATTTGGAGTCAAAGAACCTGGACTTAACCCCAGCTCTACCACCTACCTTGGACAAGTCATTGTACTTCCCTAGAACTCAGAGTTGTGTTGTTTTGTTTTTTAAATCTGTAAAATGACCAGAAGCTCTTAAAGGTCCCTTATAGCTCTGAGTCTTCTAAACTATAAACTGCTGCTTGACCCCTACTTCTTTTACTTTTTATTTGTGTGGCTTCTGGGCAAGTCACCCGACCTCATGGGGTGTCAGTTCCTAATGTGTAAAATGAGGGGGATGACCTCTACTAAGATCCTGCCGAGGTCTAATCCGTGATCCGATGATCACATTTTAGGTTTGAAAGTGACACAAGATAAAGGGTCAAGGTTTCCTACAGCATTTTTAAATGTTGTGAAATGCCTGTCATTTCATGTTAACCAAATCACATTCAGAGCCATTTCAAGTATTGGAAGGAAAAACAAAACCATTTTCCTCAGCCACCTCAACATGCCAATTGTAATATGTGCTGCCATCTTAGATGACGCAACCTGATAGGGTTCTCTTGCTGATACTAAAATGGGTATGTTCAAAATGTTTAAAAATCTACTGCCTTACTGACCTACATGGATTTTACTTTTAGCCTCCAAAAAATGATTCCCTGGACAAGGATCTGATGACACGATATAACCCATATGTCCTTCCTGTTCATTGTACTGGCAAGGTAAGAAGGGGAGAATTATTGGGGAAACAGTAGGGATATTAATGCTAATTTATAAGAATAACTAGGGTCTTATATTAAACGTAATGTCTAATACACTTCTATCAATAGAATATTGATTTCTACTACATCAGTTTCTAGTTGAATTGCATTTACGATGTGCAGATGTAGCTAGAAAAATGACATGGCTAGGCCTGTCTCTGTGACTCAGGGCAAGCCACTGCCTTTTCCATAGGTCCATGTCCTCACAGAAGGAATCTTTTCTACTTCACACAGGCTGGAGAAAATTAAGTGAGACAACAATCAGGAAGGAATTTGAACCAGATAACTTCTAAGGTCCTTTCCAACTCATTTTCTCAGTTTTAGATGTCAGGGTTTATTTTTTAAAAATGTCAGTGTTTGCTTTTAAAGAAACCCAAAATGTCGAAGTTGGAACAAGGATGTTTTGCTTCAGAACCTAAGCAAATAGACTTGGTGGTTTATTTTAGTCTTTAGGTGGTATGAGAATTTTCAATGCCAAACATTCATTTGCATCCTAGTTGCCTTTAGGTTAGGGGCACTCATTAAAGGGAAAAACCAAGGTCATATGGGAAAAATGGAATCATGGCCCAAGTTTACAACTTACTCCAGCTATTACCATCATGTCTGAGTTGATTTAGATGGCTTCTACTTACCACTTTTTGTTAGAGGTTTAGGGCATAGATGATTCCCACTGCTGCCAAGAAGTCCCAGAAGTGGCACTTTTTGAATTTTCCTTTGTAGTGTCATCCTTTCTTCCCTTTGAGACCACATTTTGCTATGTTCTGTTCCCATTTACATCAGAGACTGGTTCATAGCAATTGCAAGACACAAGGATTGAATGATGGAGCATGCTCCAGATTCTGGAATGCTCTTGATTTCCAGATTTGTATCCAGCAAAATCCACCAATAGGACATTTAAGTGCCGACTATGGGCACTGTGTGCGGTGCTGGAGGAGATGCTGGGTAGCCTTATCTTATTGCCTTCAAAGAGTATAATCATTCTGCTGATATTTCATTTGTTTAAAGCTCAATGTGGCGAACTCACATTCCTTCTGGTTTCCAAAAGCAGAACTCTGAAATAAATCTGAATGGCTCCCCCAATTTCCTTCAGACATTCTGTATCATCATTTGCCTGAACTGTGACACAGAGGAGCTGTCATTTTCCTGATATACTGCTTCTCAGATGGTGATGCCTTGATAGGGAAAGCACAGATGTCAGTAGCATGAGAGTCCCTCGGCTTTGACTGGTGATGACTGTCTAACAAGAGGCGAAGCAGCTGATAATATTTATTTAACTACCTCAGAGACTGCCGAAAGGGATAACTGTTAGTACCCCTCATGGCAAGTTCTGTGATGCCTTTCTAACACTTGGGAGAGGTGACTCACTGAGGTTATTTAAGGATTACTGGTTCATGTGTTTTGCACAACAGTAGGGAAGACCTGGAGGCAGCTAGCTACATGTGTCAATACAGTGTCTTCCAGCGTTGACTCCCACTAAAGCTTAAAACTGCCTTTATGAATAGGGGAGCTATCAAGTTAAGCAGACGTATATTGAATTTAACAAAGACACTTAAATGAATTATCACCTGAGACTTCCCATATCTCTTGAGCAGGAAAGTGTGAGCACCAATTAATGGCAGAGGAAGAAAAGCATTACTCCAGTTTTGCCATATCCATAAATGGTTGATGGATTATGGAAAGATACAAGAGCACAGATGAGTTACATATGGGAAGATTCCAAGTGCATGGAGCACAAAGAACATTTTAGAGTACCTTCTTAGTATTCATCATACACACTCATACACTATCTAAACTTTGGAGAATAGATATTGTTAAAAAAAAATTAAGGTTGAAATGTGGCACAGAAACTTGAATGGGATTTAAAAGTGCTGGATTTTGGCCTAACTTTGTCACAGGTAAGTTATGTGGGTTTGAACATGAGGGAACTCTGCCGCAGGCTCACTTTCCACATTTGCAAAATGAGAATGATATTACCATCTGGTGGTTAAGTGAGCTGAGATTTTCAGAAGGATGTAAAATGGAGGTACAGCAACGGTGTTGGTGGCAGGAACTATTTATCATGCCAACAATTAAAATCATTTCTCTTTTTTTTTTTTTTTTCCTTATTTTAGAGAGACGACGATAAGGAGAAAATTGGAAACGTGGAATACTTTGGCTTGGGTGGCTATTCTGGTTTTCCACTGCAATATTATCCATACTATGGTAAACTCCTGCAGCCCAAGTACCTCCAGCCCCTCCTGGCGGTGCAGTTCACCAACCTTACCACTGACACAGAAATCCGCGTGGAGTGTAAGGCGTATGGTGAAAATATTGGCTACAGTGAAAAAGACCGTTTTCAGGGACGCTTTGATGTGAAATTTGAAATAAAGAGCAGCTGATCACAAGCACAGTCTTCCCCCTTAGCCATTTAAAAAAGTTTAAAAAAAATTATAAAAAACAAAAACCTACTAGTCTTGAACAAACTGTCATACGTATGGGACCTACACTTAATCTATATGCTTTACACTAGCTTTCTGCATTTACTAGGTTAGAATGTAAATTTAAAGTGTAGCAATAGCAACAAAATATTTATTCTACTGTAAATGACAAAATAAAAAAAACAAAAATTGAGCCTTGGGACGTGCCCATTTTTACTGTAAATTATGATTCCATAACTGACTTGTAGTAAGCAGTGTTTCTGGCCCCTAAGTATTGCTGCCTTGTGTATTTTATTTAGTGTACAGTACTATAGGTGCATACTCTGGTCATTTTTCAAGCCATGTTTTATTGTATCTGTTTTCTACTTTATGTGAGCAAGGTTTGCTGTCCAAGGTGTAAATACTCAATGGGGATAAAACTGGCATGGTACTTATTTTTGCTTTGCTCTTTTAGAGATAAAGGCCCATCTATGAGCATATTTAACAACACTCCATAGAGCCTTTTCCTGTGATGTTAACTTTATTTAATTTTAATTTTTTTTTCCAGGGAGGGGGGAGGACTGTCCAGGGAGGGGGGAGGGGAAACTGCCCTTGAACTTTAAGTGAAGCTAAAGAAAAAAAAAAAAGGTGATGGGTTGTATTGTGCTTTGTATTGAATGCTGTCGCTACATTTCTTCCCTTGTCCTCCAGTATGTTCTCAAGTTGTGTATGAGACCTAGGTTCAACTATCACTTTGGCTGGTGATAGGGCTAATTATTTTGCTTTGTATATTTTCTTTCTATCTTTTTTTTCCTTTCTCTGGAGGCATCACGTGCTGGTGCTGTGTCTTTATGAATGTTTTAACCATTTTCATGGTGGAAGAATTTTATATTTATGCAGTTGTACAATTTTATTTTTTTCTGCAAGAAAAAGTGTAATGTATGAAATAAACCAAAGTCACTTGTTTGAAAATAAATCTTTATTTTGAACTTTATAAAAAGCAATGCAGTACCCCATAGACTGGTGTTAAATGTTGTCTAAAGTGCAAAATCTATGTTCTAACATGTAATAAATGCCAGGAGTACAGCGCTCTTGTTGATCTTGTATTCAGTCAGGTTAAAACAATGGACAATAAATGAATGAACACATTACTTATGTGTGTGCTTTGTTCTTGTCTCCAAGGCTCCACTTTGCTCCAAGGATCCATCTTTAATATTGCTAATTCTCCAAGATCTTGAAAAAATATTGGACCTGAAAGACAAACACAAGTTTTCAGTGATTCTTATAAAAAAGCACAGCCTTCTTGGTATAAAACAAATATAGTGAAAAATCTAGGTTGTAGCTTGTTTTTTAAAACTGGGATCAGCTTGAAGTTTGGCAAATGAGTACAGTTCATTCTACTTTTAGGTTCATAGTTCAGTTCGAGTCTCTACCTTGCCTTTCTGAAAAATTATTAGCTTTATTTTTAAATGAGGCAAAATCAGCTGAAAGTCATTTTCCAGGTACACTAGACTCACAATAGAGCTGGAATTTCAGTCTCACTTATCCAACTTGGGAAACCTCTAAACTAAAAACACATTTTCTGAAAACAGAAACCTCCTTTTACAGAGCCTTCACAATCACCTATTCTATGGATCCTCATTGCATCTATGACAGTCCTGAAGGAATGAGGTTTATTGAGAGAAGCCCCACTGACACTCCCCAATATTTCTCATATTTTTCTTGGAGACAATACTACATAGATATGTATGTCCATAGTGACATACAGTTGCTGCAACAATTTTGTGACACTAGCTAAAAAATATACATGTAATTTTCACTTTACAGTCTTGCTTAGTTGAGCTCTGATCAGTTCCTGTTGTTTATTTTGTAAAAATATCACCTGAGACTTCATGTATCTCCAGAGCAGCAAACTGTGAGCCCAAATTAGTAGCAGAGGAAGAAAAACATTGCTACATGGAAAAGTTCTTAAATAACAAAGAGAAATAATGGAAAATAGCTACCGTTTAACTGCAAAGAGATCTCAATATTTGAGAAAATAAAGCAAACTGTTAAGTCAAAAGGTCAAGAAAAAATATAAGGTGAATGTCCTGAATTTAGAAGATTACTGCTCTAAAAAGTAATTAATAATTATAAAGAGGTAGAAAGTAATCTTATGCTAATTCCAAGTGAATCCTTGCTGAACTATTACAAAATGTCTTGAGTAAATTAAGCCTTGATGTGCAGTCAATCAGAACAATAAGCATAACAGGCTTGATGTGAGATTTAGACTGAGGGAAATGAGCATGGGCTGTTGGGTAGGATGGCATTTTGGGATTCAAATATGGCCTCTGCCTTCAGTCATATAATGCTGGGCAAGTCACTTTCTTTACCTGTGTGCATCTCAGGCAACTCTCTCAAACCCACCTACTGTCACAGATGTGTCAAGATCTACAATGATGAAGGGAGTTGCCCATGCTGAAGAAACATGCCCCCCCCCCCCCAAGTCCTACTGCAATGTCTCATTATGGCATGGAAGTTTACAAAGTCTCTTCCAGAAGAATGCAAGGTATGGCAGACCTTAGCAAACTAGATAAACCTTTAGTATTGAGCCAGTGATAGACTATGTGTTTTTTACCTGGAAACTAGCTTCCATAAATTTAGAAAGGCTTATTACAAGAAGACTGGTCATCAGGCAATATACATATATATTTAATTTGTTTGGCTGCAGGAGATAAACAAATTGCCTACAAAATAACAGAAGGATTGAGCTCTACATTGGTGGAGCAAATAGAGAGATGACAATAAATCTTCTGAAATACTCAAATAGTCATAGGAAAAGAGAACATTTATTTAACTTGGTGAGCAGTTAGTATTTAAATGGTACCAATTGTATATGTAAATATTAGTAAAGAAGCTATTTTTGATGAAAAAATAATCTATTTTACATAAAATCCAAGAATCACCCCCCGACTTATTCCATATGCACATATACCCATATATATATATAGGTACCTATGTACAAGAACATATATAACTATATACATATATCTATGTAAAGATATACATCTGTATATCTTTACATATATGTATGTGCTTTTTAAAAATCCAAAGTATGGTGGAATATATGTGTGCTTATGTATGTATGTATGTAAGAAAGGTGGTTTCACATCTCATCTCAATGTAATCACAGAAGGTATCACTGAATGTAATCACAGAGTGTAAAGTAGATAGCCACACATGATTAGGTTTTACTGTAATCCTTCTATGAGGTGTGAAACTCTGATTGAGTCAAAAGGGGAATTGTGTGACTGGCTGCATGGGTAAGCTGACAATGTCTCTGGGGACTTTAAATAGATAAAAGGAGTTCAACAATTTTACAATCTGAGCCAGACGTAGAGAGGGCAAAAATGGTCTTTTGACAGGGAATCACATTTGAGTGAGGAGGGGATTTCATCTCCTTCTCTCTCTCTTCCCCACCCCCACCTCCTGACTGACCATGTCATAGAGGAAATTGGTCTAATGGGAAATGATAGATCAAGCTGAGAATGGAAAGGCACACTGAAGAGAGGCACAGATACTGAAAGATAATTACCCCAAGAAGAAGGTAACTTCTGGGACTATGATCTTTCACAGAGAAATGTAAGAAATGGACTCAAAGAAGGAACATATCTTTAAACCCCAGATGAGTGGCATACTCGGTATAGAGCTGTAATCCAAGGGAGCTTCTTAAGGTCTCTACACAGGGAGAAATGACTTTCAGCATCAGGAGTTGTGAATTACCCCTTTGCCACAAGTATTTGAACCCACTCTTTCCATGAACCTATGTATATTTGTGGAAAAGTGCAAGCTTTTGAGAGGAATGTCTTATATCAACTTTTCCTGCAATCCCATCTTACCAAATAAATGCCCTTGCTAAAAGCAAAGTCTACTATGTGTTAATGGGAAACACACCAGTGGGGGCTCAGGAGCTACACTGTTAGAAATATCTACTCACAAGGTTACCCTTCCTGAGAACAGATGTCCCTCTGGGGACCCAAGTAAACTTACACTTCAAGTAAAAGTGTAAGTTTAGGAAAGTAACCCAGAAGGAGTGCACAGGTACACTTGTGTGTACATATGTATATAATTATGTAGTTAGATCTATATATAGTTAAGTTAAAAGCTTATTTCCAGTTCTATAATTCTGTACTAATATAGAAATTTATAGCTTTAAATTAAGTTAGATTCTAGAGCAGAAAAGAAATTAAGTTTGTTTACTATTTCAAGCACCTAGTAGGCACTAGCTAGCCAAAAGTAAAAATCTCTGCCTTCAAGAAGACTGACTCTTCCTAGGGGGTGGGGCATATAATAGGTATGCCAATAAGGCAATATAAAGTAATTTGAGGAAGGAAAGAGTACTGACATCTGGAGGGATCAGTGAAAGTTCTTCATGGGAACTGGTACCCTACTCAGATGTAAAGGAAGTTTGGTATTCTAAGAGGTATAGATGGGGAGGTAGTATAATATTGTGTGTGTATGTGTATATGTGAATATATATCTATATATATATAAACATACACATATTCACAAGCATACACATATGTACGTGTGTATTATACAAATGTGTGTGTAAAATTTATTCAAGATTCCTCAAAAGAAGTAGCAGAAATAACCCATTCCAATGACCTTCGGCTCATAAACAGCAGGTGAGGCATAAAACAAAGATATGTCTACTGGACAAATATGTTTGCCACTGTGATAGAGGAGACTGAAATGGAAGAGGGAGTTCCTGTGAATGATGAGGTCCTCCAGAATCTCCTGTTTGCAAATGATACTGTACTGATTTTTTTTTTTTAAGGTGCAGAGCATTGTTGTGCCTAGGAGATTTGCAGTTTCATGTATAATCACCTTTTTAGTGCAATATGTTATGGAAATGTTTGTTTTATTCCCTAAATTAAAAATAAGATTAAAAGAGAGAGAAAGAGAGGTCAAGAATCAAAGGACTTTAGCCTGACCATCCACAAGGGAAAGACCAAATGGATAAAGAATGTCTATTGCCCAGCAAAATGGGTGGGCCTTACTCAATGGGTGAACCAAATGCCTGTCAATGTAGGGTCAGAGTTGGAATGAAATGAAACACTTACAGTTCATTCAACAGTTAAAGAAAGGAGGTTTACTTAAGACATAACAGAGAAATTATATTCAACAAGGATAATGTAGTACTTAGTTCAGTTATATGTTGACACCCCTTGATTTTATATGAAAATACACTTTGTTAGCAGGGCAGGTGTGGTGACTCATGTGGCCCCGGGACATCTGCCAAGGCTAAAGGCCCTCAGCACTACATGGGTGGTCCTTTTTATGCTATTAGGCAACCACGAAGCCATACGGCTAGAGGCTGCCAAGAAGCTGCATCAATGGCTTAAGCCTTAGCCACCTGGGTCAATCAAATCTTAAGGATAGCTTCCTTGCTTTTTAGGGAAAGAACTAGCCTAACTTATATGGAGGATATGGGGGAGGGGCACAGACTCTGATATACAGTGATCCTATCGCACTTAGATGCACAACATGCATTTCAATGAATAACCAGTAGAACCTCTCCATCAGTGTGTGTATGTGTATGTGTGTATGTGTGTATGTGCATACACACAGACATATATACACATACATACATGTATGTATATGTATATGACAGATAGTACAGCTTGATGAGGTGGGCCCAGAGCTAAGCAAGAGAAGGAAAGAAGGCAGGATTGCCTTCAGCAAACTGCAAAACTCCTTCAATGACCTCAAGCTTCTTATAAAAACAAAGGCCTATTTTTTGACATCAACATTTCTACCAGTGACTTTGTATGGTAGCAACACATGACCTATAACAGACTCCAAAGAATTAAAAATGAATGTCACAAAGAAGGCAATAGAGAAGAGCATATGAGCAAGCATGGAGAACTTCAAAGACTACCAGGAGTAAAAGATGTCACCAAGGAATTGTATGATAGGAAGAAAAGATGGACTGGTCATATGGACAGGTCAATGGGTGATGGGGTAGACAGCCAAAATCGTCTGTTGATTTCCCTGTAACATCTGAAGGAAGCAAGGAAGGGTCTCCAGCACGTTGGGGGAGAGCATGAACAAGAGATGTAAAATGGACAGGCAGTGATGAGATGTGGGCGGCATCATTGGCGGGAACTTCCAAATTAGTGCCTTCATAGATCCATTTGAGTATTGATTATGATCAGGAAAGGAGGTGGCCTGATTAGATTAGGAAGAATGACAGAACAAAGTGTAGT